CGACACGGAACTGTAAATTATACTGACCTACCAACCGTGGTTAAAGAGAAATTGTTTCTCTATTGGCTAATGAGGTTGTCCTGCTGAAATGTTGTAAGGTATTACATTTACAAACCCTAAAAAGTGAATGCGCATTTTGTACTAAAGCCTGGGCATATCCTTCTGAAAAATATTCACAACCAGGTGTGTTTGCAGACAAAAATTGATCGGGTGCTTCCAGCTCTCGGGTCTTATAGAATAAGCACTGCTACCATCGCGAATCGACGATGAAACATTTTGAGCTGGTCAGCACAGTTCACTACTGACAACCGTAAATCTCACCACAGAAGAGAGTTAATACGGCTGTCTACTTTGTTGCATATAGTTTCAGAAATATATTTGATTGCTGCTAGCCGTGTGGGAGTGCAGTTTGCAACGAAGCAATACATCAGCACTTGTACAGATTCACACTTACACACTATTAGATGAAATTGCACAGATACACAATCAATTACGCATAATGGTATCGCTCGAGCCAGGTACTTTGATATGGGCGAAAATTCCCTGCACACCCTGGTGGCCGGGGCGAATAGCCGACGTTAGCGATGTCGCATGCATCCCTGTTCCGGGGAGGAAACTCAAGGACACACAAGTGTTTGTGGCCTTCTTCGGAGAAACAACTGTGTATGTATGCCTACCACTGCCCACGTCTATGTATAGATTCGACCATGTATATAGACTATCACTTTGTTTTCATTATTACACTGCATATACAAATATGTTATTGCTTAAGAGTATATTCTCAGTCTGCAGGATCATATGACCAAAGGAGTGAAATTGGTCAGATATGTCGAGCATCCTAAGTATGTGTGTGAAAAACTGAGCACTTATTTTAAATAACATCTTTAAGAAATACACAAATCAAATGAATGGGTCAAGACGAACTAAGACTTAGCTTGCATACACACTGATCGTGTTATCGTCATCGTCCTACCTGCATCGTTGTATCAAGCACCAAAAGACGTCTACTATTATATATGCACACCTCTTAAAAAACGCACACACACACCCACAGACACACATACATACACAAACAGACACGCACACACACCTACACGCACCTACACGAACACACACACACACACACACACACATACTCACACACATGTATATGTTATATATACGCACGTGTACACACACACATGCACACACACACACACACACA